CCCCAAAACCCCAAAACCCCAAAACCCCAAAACCCCTCAAGGGATTAATACTATTGATGTATATAAATTTTATATCTATTATCGAAAGTATTATTATGGCTGGCTGTTTTTGACAAATCCTACCACTGCGCAGATATCGTCTGGCTTCCCACCCTTCCATTCGAGGAGTTTATCCATCCTGACCTTGGCCTGATTGAAACGGTCTGCAAAAGGAGTGAAACAAGCCTTATTTTTGCTCTTTCTTTTAGCCTCTTTGACTAAGTCATGAGCTAAAAGCTTCGCATTCCGCTTTGTGAATATTTCTAACTGTGTTTTGGAGAACACTGGGGTGAACCCCTGGGTGTTCACACTCGGTAAACTGTCTTCTGATGAATTTGTGAAGCAATCATTCATAAAGACATCGATTATATTCTGGACCTCGTGAGGATAGAGATTATCGAAGAGACCATCTGTTCCACCAATGATAATATCTCCTTCCCTCACAGTTGTTTGGTAAAGCACAGCATCACTAACTTTATCTTTCCAGAATTTTCTCTTATGATCCTCAAACGCATAGGAAGTAGGAGTCAAACCATGCGGGATGTTCGCAAGCTGGTAAGGAGCATTGAAGTTATGCTGTTGTTCTCCAGTCCTGAGCATGATCTTCGAAGCTTTTATCTCCAGGTTGTATCTTACCACCATCATTGTGGAATCTCCAATGTTTGCTATTTTTAGAGTCTTTCTATCAAGCGCACCAACACAAGCGGTTGATGAACCAAAACTAGTGACGGCTCTATACGCTTGCTTGATGATCTGTTGAGGATCTAGCCTAAATTTCTTAGGAGTTTCCACAAAAGCGACCTCGCTAATTGGTGATCTCTCGCATTGATTTTCTTGGGTGGGGCACTCTTTGAGTTCCTTCTCGTCCAAATGAAAAGAAGATCTGATCCTCCGGATTTTGGGCCTCGTACGAGTACCAAAAGCAGACTCCATCTTCGAGAGATCTTTCCCTTGGCTGCTGAGAGTGTTCTCATCAGCAGCTTCAGGCGATTGCTGGTGCTCAAAGTGTTGTGCTTGACTCTTATAAATTGTACTCTTTGTTTGAGACACGTTGCCAGCAAATTCTTTTCTTTTAAATATTTGCTTTCATTGAGACATTAGGCTGTTTGAAAATTGAGCAGGGTCAATCCCGTAGGAGGTCCAGCCACCAACTCCATCAGCAATTCCTATTCCGAATTTGGTAGTGAAAAATGCGTCTTGGCATGGCTTTTTGTTTTTCGAAAGTCGGAATCCTTGTCCTACTATTCAATAGTTCTTGACATTCTCTTTGCTTAATGGGCTTGAGATACTAAATTTTAGTCATGAGTTTAGGGTTATATAGTATTTATAAAATTTGCATGTAAGCCGATGGAACTAAGAAAGCTAATCTTTGCTTTTGAGTATCTAATCAAGCCCACCAGTTCTTTATAATGAGCCAATAATATTTCAGGACCAAAATACAAGCAAGAGGTACAAAACCTCTTGTTATTGTATTCTTAGGGAAAGTTCAGCCATAATGAATAGTGAGTTGAGCCAATAGTATTTAGAAGTATTATACAGAACACTCCTTTTGGATTTTTTTCCTCCAAACTCTCTTAGTTATTGGGGCCAGTCAGATATTGGATGGTGATAATGACTTATCATCCATGAGATTTCCCTTCTAACGTAACTGAATTGGCCATATATTGTGAATTATAACAAAACTTTGGGAAAATATCCTAAATTTGAGCTAAAAATTTGATAATTTTTTATGAATTTTTGAACAGCTTCTTACCCATAGACCCCAATGTCTTTGATATTCCCGCTGATGTCAGGAGTGAAAGGCATGTTATTGAAAAAGTCATCTAGAAAGAACAGGTCATCATCTGAATATTCAGACCCCAAATTCCTAGAGCTCTGATTATGCTCGCTTGAAATTATTGAACGCAGTGGTTTCTGGATTGTCTGCAATGGAGTTTTCGGAGCTTTTGAAGAGTGTAGATGCTTGATTCCAATTCCAAAATCCTTCTTTCTTCCCTAAAATAGAGTTAAGTCGAATCCAATCTTGGTTTAAAATACTAATCGACACTTTTGTGCGATTTGGATAATAGCCATGAGGGACTGTATCATTCCAGAATTTTTGGAAAGTAAGTTAAGACCTGGATGGTGAGGAAACTTTCAGTAGCAAATTTAACTAATTCATGGGCCTCTTTAGTGATAAATATGCAGAAAACACGTGAAAAGCATTTTATATAATACTATAATTTAAGATTCATACTATTCTTATGAGCCCTGCTAAATTTGTCTTAGTTTGGATACGCAATTTTCATCAAAATTTTCAGAAATGTTGGTGAGATTTGGGACAAAATTTGGCTGTTATTCAACAAGCAATGGGATGTTAACTCTCAAGAGCTATCCAAAAAGCCCTCAGTGCATCAGGAGGAGAAGAGCTTACCTTGTAGGCCATATCTACTCTTGGGCTTCGGTCTTTTCTTATCCGAGAGAAACTGTTAAAAAGCTGCAATCCGCTTAATTTATTCGTCTTCGTCTTGCTATAAAATGGTTAGTGGTGTGATCTTCTTCGAAAAATCTGACTAAACGAAGGCCTCTTCAAACAAAAATTTCCTGGTTATTTCGGAAGGTTTTAGAAATCCTGAACAGTCTATATGAAGATTTTGGCAGAAATCAGCTCTAAACTCTCTAAATTGCGGGAGGTAAATGTGCCTCTACTCTCAGCTACCTTGGTACGGAATAAATGCCATTTTCACCTCCTACATCAAAAGAGAGATTGATTGAAGAGACAAGCTGTTGTTATATTAAGTAGTGTTGTTGGATCATGAATTAATAATTTTGATTAAATATTGAAAATACTCAAGAAGAAATCAACAATCGCGTCTGTTAAGTAAGTAACAAAGCACTCGAGAAATATTGGAATGGAATGGTGATATGGCCTTAAAATCCAGTAAATCATCCTATGGCTAGTCCCTGCCAATTTACTTAGACCCATTTCGGTAAAATTTATAGGAGTGGATGGCTCATCAGAGATAATTTGCAGAAAGAAATAAATTCACAACTTTAATGACTAAATCACTTACCTATGAATCATCCACTTTCTCTTATCATTCATGATCAAGCTGACTCCTTCGTAATGAAAAGACTTGTTAAACCCTGATGGATTTGGATTCTTTTTGAAGATATTATTAGTATAGCCTCCAATAGTCAACCTTGGATACTTTGGACAGCATATAAAAGTTCCATCTACAATGAACTTAAACTCGGAACTCTGCCTAATTTTAATCTGAGCCCTGAAAGCACGGTGGAAGTATGAGTATTGCATCAATACCTGCTTGCCCCACTGTGGAGTAGAGAACTCTCCTACTAGGAATATCTGTTTGGCTATGTCAGGGTCTGCCTCATAGTAAATATCCGCAATAAAAATGCTCTCCCTTCGAAGTCGCCTCAACCTTTTGTAGTTCAAAGCCTTCATGATTATCTTGGTGGCTCGGAAGAGTTCTTCTGCTGTCCTCTTTATCATAATGTCCTTCTCCAGTAGGGTAGCATATGAAGGTTTAGAGCTTAGATATTCCTTAGTCTTCGCATTATTCTCTTCCCTAAGGATGCCAAGGATAGTCTTTTTCTCCATTTAAATTAATCAAATTATATACGAGTTGCTAATATTTTAATCTTATTAAATTATGAGGGGTTTTGGGGTTTTGGGGTTTTGGGGTTTTGGGGTTTTGGGG